TGCGCGAGGAGTGACGCGTGCAAGGGAAGCGGACGAGGCCTATGCCTCGGAGGAGTAGGAGTGATGGTCGACTGCACGCACACGCATAAGGAGTTCGGCGGCAGATGGGCGAATGCGTTGGCATGCGCATGGGCGCACGAGTGCGACGCGGGCGATGGCCTATACCGCGTAGGCATAGGAGTGCTGGACGACGAGTACGGGGCGCATGGCGACACGTGCGAGGCACAATGCGAGAATAAGTAGGCAAGCCTAATCCTCGTAGGAATAGGCAAGGCGCAAATACTAATCCTCGCAGGAGCAGGAAAAGCAATTGAGTGTCGGAACACACGTGGGAGATCGGAGACGGAAGTAATCCTCGGAAGATCAGGAAACGTAACCGAGAGCCTATTCCTAGTAGGAATAGGAATAGTGGATATGGGCTCAAAGCATGGCCCCACAAGGAGTAGGAATGGCACAGCAGGCGCGCGAGACCTAGTCATCGGAGGACTAGGCGAGCGGGGCGGTGCGCGCGCGCGTGCAAGGCAAGGCGCGCGACGCCTAGCAGCACTAGGAGTAGGCATCGCAAGGTCGGTGCGTACAAGGGCGGCGTGCGATGAGGCAGCCGAAGTAGTTGGGGCGCAAGACTTGTCTTCTAGAAGTTCTTGGAGTGCAAGGCAAGGAATTGGATAGCAAGTCAAGATCTACTAGATTTAGGAATTTATGGTAGTAGGATATTTACTAGCCTTAGGATTTATTATTTAATTGTTTTATTAGTTTCCTAGTAAGATTAGATCTAGAGATAGTTGGTAACTATAAATACCCCATGTACCTCATCATATTTGACATGTTGAATTGAGTATTGAATTGGTGAGCCAATCTTGAGGGGGAACTTTATGTTCTTAACGTGTGATAAAGAAGGCCATTAGTGCGTCTTTACATGCAGTGTCGGAGAGAAGGCCAATAGTGCGTCTTGAAGTCACGGTATCTAGGAGAAGGCCGTAGTGCGTCTGTTAGATACACCTATCGGGGATAAACGAAGGCCTCAGTGCATCGTTTATTCGCAACCCAAGTATAGACAAAAGATCGATCCGTCATCAGCCGCCAACGGCGTCGTGCCGTTTAACGACCGATACTCATTATATCTTGGCAATTCAAATTTACTGAACTTAAACATGACTTGCTGAACATGATAACACATAATGATTAAAGGTTCGAACTTAACATGCAATAGCACTCGGGTGGTCCGTGGTGCACACTAAGTGTGCGACCACACTCTTTCGACCAAACTCCATCAACATGACTAAATTCATCCGAACACTTAAGTTAATCTAAGCATGATTTTGCATATAAAAGCTAAGTATGCGAGGAATGTTTGGAGAATTCGAATTAAATCATAACATGATTCGGAGGATTAACTTATAACATGACAATAATTGGCACGACTAAGGCTTCTCGCACATAACACGCATGCATGCTACTAACGGGAAAATCAAACTAAATAAACATGATAGGCTCGGTCAACAACCGTCGGGAACTTACCTCTTATAAAGCTCAAGAGACTAATTTACTCGAACTCCTGCTCTCGGTCGTTGAGGAACCCCGTGTGCGTGCGTGCATGCGGTAGCGTGCGATGCGGCGAC